GCGACACCTTCAATGGCCCAGAAGGACTCTCATCTCCCTGACGGGTTCTTTGGCGCGTTTTGATTCTACAAGTTTCATCGTACAATCCTTCTCTGAGGAGTTACGGCGCTTCTACTTCATCGCTTCACATATTTCGCCTTCATCGAGAACAACGTTCTACATCTTCAACTTCGTCTTTCAAGATCAACATCTTCTTCTTCAATGTTTGTGTGTGTGTCATCTGTTGTGTATTGTGTACAGTATATCAGTTTACTAGTCCAGTCGTTAACTTCTCGACTTCGCACCATCGCTGGTTGAAAAGCCACCTAGGCTAGGTTGAATCTGTAGTACTTTGGTTTAGCGCAGGAAAACAGTAACAGTACTCTGCAAGCACATCTGCCATTTATCTTACTTAATGGTTGACGCATCAAACGGCTTTGTTTCTTTTACAAGATTTTCTCTTAGATTCAATGCAACTTTCATTGAGGGAGAGTGTTATGGAAATATTTGCTTCTGTCCTCCTGTACTAGTCAATGTTCAGTAGCATTGATCTCTATCGTAGATCATGCATCGTGCTCTCGCATGAATCTCACGCACGTTCTTCTCTGGATAGTCATGGCTCTTAGCTTTCTTGGTCATCTCTAGGAACTGCCGTAATCTGGACCTCTGCGTTCTCTGTGGATCTATCTACGTGTGTTGGCCAAATAAGCGCCAGTGTTCAACAAATCTTCACGTCTCTACACAGCACAAGAAGTTCTCCTACTTCTGATCTTCAACCGCTCGCGGTGCCGACCATCTCGAGTAACATCGAGAGGCACAGCCTTGCCCACTTGTCATCAGACGATATCGACAAACAGGGACAGGGACAGAACTGGCCGAAGTGTGTGCTCGATGACCTGAAGATATTTGGGGCCGACCACAGATCTACGAAAACCGATTCATGTTGTCTCGGAATCCCGGTACCGAAAGACACGGCACCGAAGTCAAAGTGGACGGAAGCCGCGAAGGTGGAGGAGGGAGTACCCTGGCACGCGGCGGTGCTGCAGGGAGATGAGAGGTTCATGACCTCCTGGCACGAGAAGGAAGAAGAGGCCAGCCGACAACGGGCGCTCAAACGAAACTACAACCCACCAACCAATGGGGCGGAAGGGGGGCAGGAGACGGACGAGACGGCGAGGGGAAGAAAGCAAACGAGAAGGGACGGACCGAGTGGTGCGATACGTGCCGGATTGAATTTCTTTTAGCCAATNTACAACCCACCAACCAATGGGGCGGAAGGGGGGCAGGAGACGGACGAGACGGCGAGGG